TCAGCCATGTAGGAGGCAAAAACTAGTATTATTATCGGTAATGCGGATGGACCATGAGAGAGGCCTCTCGCTCGCCTCGCCGCTCGGGGCAGCTTCCATGGGGACTTTTGAAAAAAGAGCTCCATCCAGGCTGCAAGGCAGGGTTTGGAGGTTGCAGTGGCCAGTGCAAATCTAGGAAGAGACTTGGTCTTTGTGGCTTCTTGTAACTCGTGATCCTGGTGGCCGCAAATGTGAGGTGCGATTGAAGGCCTTGCACGTGCAGCGGAATGGACAGGCTGGTATCGTCGAGGATTATGTGCGGACGAAACAGCGCTGGCGAGTGCGTCTGCTGATTAGTGGCAAGTCGCACGACTTCAAGGCAGAAAACCTGGAGATTGAGGAGCCCGCCGACAGGGCGCCGCCTGCAGACTGGGTTGGCCCTGAGCTTGAGGAGTTGGAGGTCCAGCCAAAGGTGGCTTACAAGGAGGAGCCAAAAGAAGAGCCGCTGAAGCTCACAGCCTTGGCTGCAGGCTGCAAAGTAGTGCTTCACGGTCTCAAGGCAGCCCCAGAGCTGAATGGCCAGAGAGGCGAGGTGGAATCTTTCGTGTCAGAGTCTTCGCGTTGGCGGGTCAAGCTATTGGGTGGCAGCATCAAGGACCTGAAGCCCGAGAATCTCCGGCCCTTGTCCGCCAGTGAGCTGGACGCATCCGCCACTGCTTTGTCCGAGCTCGATGCTCTCGAAGCCGATCTCGGCATCGATTTCGCCACGGCACCCGGAGATGCTTGCGGGCCCGACGGACGGTTCGTTATTGAAGACAAGCTCGGGGAAGGCACCTTTTCAACGGTGTTCCGATGTCGGGACACCTGCGCGGACAACGCAAAGTATGCTGTGAAATTCACCAGGCTGGAAAGTTAAACTGGCCGCAGAGTCGGGCTGGTAGAGAGATCCCAGAATGATATCCAGGTATGTTAAGCAAAGATCTCATAGCAGTGCAGGTCGAACGAGCAAACCCGCAGGGCCTTGGAGCGTGAGATCAAGATCATGGGCCAGTTGATCGCCAAGGCGAGGCGCGAAGAAGGCGTAAGGCGTGTCATCTCCGCGTCCCCGAAAACCCCGAGGTGGGCGAACAGGATCCCGAAGGCATGCGCGCCATCTTGACACTAGCCTTCTTCGAGGGCTTCAAACACAAGGGTCGCCTGGCTGCCGTCTTCGAGCTCATGAAGTGCAACTTGCGGACTGCACTGGCCAAGTATGGTGGTGGACGCTTGGCTGGCTTATATGCAGTAAACTGATACTGAAGACTGCAAAAAGCAGAAAGCAGTTGTGCAAACATCTTCCTGCATCAGCACCTTCTCAGGCAAGGGACTGCCCCTCCTGCCCACCGTCCGGGACTTCGGCCGGCAGCTGTTCCTGGCTTTGCGGGTGTTGAGGCGTGCTGGTTTGATTCACTGCGACGTGAAGCCTGAAAACCTGTTGCCTGGCACGAGGGCACCAGTCACATGCTGACACTGTGCAGCCATGAGTCGACATCCTTCCACCTCACTTCGGTGTTGTGTTTTGTGTCTCTGTGGCTTTGCCCGAGTTACCGAGGCTACTTGGCGGTGACAACGCCACAATCAAGCTGAGCGATTTCGGAAGCTGCCAGGGCTTGGTGGAGCGGTTGAAGTCCGAAGGAGCCTAAGTTGTTGTAGGTCAGTCGTCTGCGAGTTGGCCTGGGAGCATCCAAGGATCAGCTCATGCCACGAAACTACCGTGCTCCGGAAGCTTGCTGGCAGTTGAAGGGATGGATCGAAGACTCTTGTCTGGGCTTCCGGACAATTCGGCGACGCTGAGGAGATCATCGTTGGGCTGGTCCGTGGCTGAGATATGAACGCTGCCTTGAGAAGCAGAGCCATCCCACTGCTCTCTTAAAAGATGCGAAGTGGACAGAGGACTATGACTGTTCAGTGGATGTTTGGAGTGCTGGCGCCACATTGTTTGAGCTCGCTACCGACTCGGTGCTGTTCCAGGTACATCGGAAGTGTGCTAGTTTGCCTAAATGAAAATGCATCACCGCGCGCCTCCTTGCGCCTCCCCTTCATGACTCATGCAGTGGCAATTGCCGCGTAGGGTGAGACGAACAACGACATGCTCCACGCGATGTTCAAAGTGTGCGGGTCATGCACGCCACACGGCTTGCACAACCCGAGAACATGCTGCCGACTTGATTTGCCCACCCCTCAGCCAGATTCATGTGAGGAAGTCCTTCGCAATGAGTGGGAGCTTCACACACAATCATTTCAGCGCCAGCGGCGAGTTCCTGAATGCCAAAGGCATGGCCCAGATGATTTTTGTGCTAGCTGCTAGCCCTCCAAAATCCTCCAAACAGAAGTGGAAAAGGTGACGTGGCCATCAACTCAGCCAACCCACGTGCTCCTTGTCGAGATTAATGACTCTCGGTGAGCTTTCCAGGGTTCTCAAACCCGGGAGGGTCTCAGGTGGTACCGCTGGACGCTTTTGATCCTCCCAGTCGTCCGCTACAGTTCCTGCTGGAGGATGTCGCATGGCTCTGGTTGAGCCAACTTTTGGGGAAAACACGTCGACAACTTTAACAAAAGCTCAGTACCCAGGTGCGCAAGCGACCGCCCAAGGGCGTGACTGCAAGCCGCCACGAAGGTCTGCTTTGCGCAGCCCGGAAGTCTCCAGGGCTTTGACCGGATCGCTTGAGTCACTTTGAGAACCCATGTTGGGACTTCTATGGCCGCGAGCATGTCTGCACCCCCGCGTCGGCAGCTCCATTCAGCAAAGCCTCTTCCAACTTCATCGTAAGGCAACAGAAGCCACTCTAAGTTTTTGTGCCTGGAGGTTGTAGTTTTCTCAGAAGATCCCTGAAGGCCTGGTCAGCCACTTCTCGGACCTGCTCAGCTCGTGCCACTCGGCACATCGGTAAAGCCCAAGCCAGCATGAATTTTTCTGCCACAAAACTACCGGTGGTTCTGCAGACTCTGCGAACAAAGGTCAGCGCATAGCTCCAGAATCGAGATTGACGGCTGAGTCAGCATTGGGCCACAAGTTCTTCCAAAAGGGAGCATAGCTTTGGCTCGACAGCCCAGCCCGACCAAGAAGCGAGCTCGACAAGAGCTTGCTATCCCGCCTGGGATGCAGCGCAAAATTGGCGAGGGAAAAGTTCGAAACTCGAAACATCTCGAAGCCACGAGGAAGTGTCGTGCAGCTCGGTGTCACACTCTCGCATGAGTCAATGAGGCTCCTGAAGAGCCGACTTCTCGGCAAATGGAGCTGACTGAGCTCATGGGTTGACATCTGAGAAAAGGCTTTTCCGTAGCATGCGACCCAGCAGTATGGGCGACTTGAGCTGCTGCCAGCGACCACTGCCGTCCAAGCGCCCATGCCTTGTCACAGAAAGCCGCTGCTCAGCTTATAGTGCTCACAGGTGCGACATGCAAGCGCGCAGATTTAACTTCTGGGCCGGGGAAACACAATCTTTATGCGGCCTGGCAATGGGTCTTTGCCCAGTCTCCGCCGGCCGTTCGACATGTGCATATACCAATTGTCTGTACATATACATGCACATCCACATCCTCATTCAATGGGATTCGCCCGTCGGTTAATGATGTTAATGGAAGCAGGACGCACGACGACAGTAACATACAGCAGCCAAGGCATTAGAAGCCACCCCCCCCCC